CAAAATGACACCACTGAATTCCACTGGGAAAAATGGATGGTGCTCAGAATTCTACCAATTGAAGGGAAACTGAAGATATGACAGAATCGATACTGGAGTCTCCATGAATCTTAACTGTGAAGAGTTTGGGCTGAAGAGAAGTACTTTTTATGACATCAGCTAGATGTAAGTGCATACAAAATATAAGTGAAACTACTGCAAGTGTAAGCAGCCCCCAATCATCCTCCTCCTCAAGATTCATCTGCAACAATAAAAGTAAGTGCAGTGTAAATGTATACTATTAAATTTAATTTTGTTTTTGAAAAGGATGTGTCAGTAAATTGTAGTTGAAAGTACCCAAGGGGAAGGCTAGACATAAGTCAGACAGCCCCATATAATCCTTCTTAGAAAGGTATTACTGTATGTACACATGATCAAAAAGTGTCTGTGCACATTTCACGTGAAACAATGTGACACCACAAACAATGGAGCTTGCAAAATGCCATATATTGCTTGTTAGCGACATTTCCTGTTTTATCTATAGTAAGTATTGTTATTATATGCACAGAGAAAAAAAATTAATCTTGCGAACAATGTGTACTTGGTTCATGTTGACGGTTACGTTTTCTATATATATATATATATATATATATATATATATATATATATATATATATATATATATATATATATATATATATATATATATATATATATATATATATTAGAAAAATATCTCCTCTTACACAGATATATTAATGTAATAATACCAATAGAGAGTAAATAAAAACCATTGTTGTTTACCCCCCTTACAGAGGATTACTGTACTGGCTTTTGCCTAACTGGCAAACGTACCACCAGTACCAGCTTTTTAGGGGGTACGGGTGTGTCAAGAAATACCCGTATAGTAAATTTCATAGAATTTCTAGTATTTAATCCCTGTCACACATGGCATGAATCTTGGGAACCCTGGGTTATCATTAAACCCATTCGTTGTGTAAGTTTTAAAAAAATTACGTGATACCAGGTATTTGTAATCTCAATGGGCTCATTGAGAAGGGCAAAATACAGAACAGACTCCATTCCTTATAAAAACAATACAACGTACTGTATTATTCTATTTGAGGATTCATTAGAGATATTTTATTTTAACCTGTACACCCCGGTTGACGTTCCGGAATGCGCGCCTTTTCGCGATATTGTTTGAATGCCCAGGGCGGATTATTAGGTTCCAGCATGACTATTTGGTGGTCACGCCACATGCAGGGTAGCATGGGTGGGCTCAGTGCGGTTAGTACGCATTAGCCTGTCACCATGGAGAGTCGTCCCTCAACCTGGCGACAGACTGGGTGTGTCGCCGTGCACTTTTTATGAAAAATAATGCAAATAAAATAAATTCTAAATGAATTATTTATAGGAAATAATTATTATGATCAGTAATTATATGCATGATTGACCATCCTGAACACAAAGGCAAGCAGAAAATGGCCGCTAATTGCGTAGTGTTCACAAGCGCTAGCTGACAAAACAACAGTCCCCTTATTTCCCTCGCCACTCCGGCCCCAGGGATTTTCTAGAGGGTCAATATATAGTTTTTTTTTACTTCTTCTTGATTGTTTTATCATTTAAAAAGGTTAAAAATTATTTTTGGAAAAGTTGATTTTTCTCGATTTACCCGAATGAGGGATACGGCCAGCGGCACCCTAGCCCGGGGCGTAGAGGTTAAAATAAGTCCATTGATGGTTGTAATAATTGGTTAATAACAATAATCCAGAAACTAATGAACTTCTTAGTAATTAGTACAGTATGTGATGCCCACCCTGAAATTCTTTTTTATTTAATTTTTAATGTGTACTGTACGGTAACCAAAATACAATCTTGCATTATATAGTTACTGTAACTAATGCGCAGACTCTTTATTCAATCGCCATCGTTTTGTTCTTTTATTGTCAGAACATGTGTGCTGCTATAATCCCCCTCCTCCAAAATAAGGTTTTATGTTAGCCAAGTTCATGTGGTCCTAATTTTCTGATGTGCAGAACAGTATAGTTTTACATCCACTCCTGTATTTGTGCTCAATAAGCCTGGCAGTCAGCTGGTGTCATGTAACTAAGCATTAAGTCTTACGGCAAATTCTGTCAAGATATAAATCTGTTTCATAAAAAAAAAAAAATCAAATGCCCTTCATGCAGTTTCCCAATTCAAACAGATAATATCAAATACAGGGAGTCCCCGGGTTATGAATGGGTTTCGTTCCTGAGGACGTTTTTAAGTCGGATTTGTACGTAAGTTGGAACACATGCTATGTGCATACTGTACTTACAGAACAATGTTTAAAATCCCACTATATCATAGCCTAAGTCCTTATATACATCTAAAATCCCTTAATTTAAGACAAAAGAAGAAATAGAATGACAAAATACAGTAAATGAAAGTAAAAAATAAGCATCAGGTATATTAAAATACTGTAAATTTCATTCCATCCTTAGGCTTTAGTAAGCCCCTTTATAATATTTATACAGTACTGTATATACTTGTCACACTTGCCAGATGCTTCTGGTGTTATTGTACAGGGGTACCTAGTGACAGCACTAGGATCCCGCTTCCTCTATCAAGGAATAAACAATTGAAATTGACATTGTAAATTTCAAGTTTAACCACTGTTCGTATCGGTGGGTGTTTGCAAGTCGGGGACCCCCTGTACATACAAAAGTACATTTGTGCAATACTGTACTGAGTTTATCTGGATGAAAAATGTATTCATTTCAACAAATAAGTTCGTAAACAACTATAAAAGATACCCTCAAATTTTTTACTATCCTGACATGCATGGATAATCATCAAGCATTTGTAACACTGTTGTCTCCTGAATAACAAACACTATAAGAAGGAAGGCAAGGAAAAGCTTATCATATATCTATGCACTAGCTATGGCTTGTGACACACCATGTTAGGATATGATTATCTGCTTCAGAAGGCCTGAATTATAATTTTATTTTTGCTCTAGCAAGCTCTCTCCTGCTGCAGTACAAGGTAGGCACAAGCAAGAGCAACATATGCTCTTCCTCATTTGTGGTCATTCATTCTTTCTACAGTAGCTACTTTATCATATGGACATGAAATTAACAACATGGCCCTGTCTTTGATTCAAAGAATCATCTCTTGGGAGAATTAATCCCTGGGAGTATGGCTATTACAGCCTCTCCAAGCAAACCCCTGAGATTTTCATTCTTAAGTTGGTAATGTACAAGCAAGATCCTCGATTGTTTTCATCCACATGTGTGGTAAACCAAACAAAACCTGTTGACCCATTGACCTTATGCTGTAACAATAAAATTTGACAGCGATATACAGTACAGGTAAACCTCTATTTAGGACATCCCAATCAACAATATTTCACATTAATGATGCTGATATATTAAGACTACTTCCCTATTTGCAATGTAAACAAACTCTCATTAATGATATTCGTCATCCCGCCAACTTGACATATGGAACGCATCACTCTCTTCATTTGTCAGCTGAGGCGCCATGTACCCAAACACTGCCTCGTGGCCATCTAGTTAACTACAGTCCAGCCATTGTTTCTTCTTGGTTACATGTGTGCAAGAAATAAATGGATCTCAATGTTTATCAGTCATCATCAGTGGTTTTTTAACCTTACAATGAGATGATATCAATGAATTTCACATTATACTCTGTTTTAGTGACTGTGAAGTTCTTTCGCTCCGACTAAGAAATGCTTTTGCTGTGATCTCCCCGAGCTCAACAATGGGTGACCTGACATTGCATCTGAAGATCAATAATATGAGACCAGTGATCCCTGCACCCCACCTCCACTGCAAATGAGAGAAGAGTTTATATACAATGGGTGGATCTGACATTGCATCAGGTCAGGTCAGTTGAAATGAGATTCACTAATCCCCTACCACACCTCTATCACAAGTGTTAAAAGATGTAATGAGTGATTACAGCTAGGCATTACATTAGGAAACTGGACAGTATGCTCTTACAGTAGTAATACACAATATTTTGTTGATTTATTATATATTGTATGTGTACAGTGGTGCTTGTATAAATAGATACAGCTCTCGAGTCTCTGTGTAAGATGCATCGCTTACTCGGAGAAAACAGTGGAGAATTCCACTGTAACACACACACAGCTCAATTCACGAGGCTCCTTGCATGCCCGTACCATATAGATTTTAAATATATTTATTTAACTACTGTAAACTTTTAGATAAGTTATTCAGGAATAATTGAGTAAAAAATGGCACTTTTAAATTAATTAAAACTGATTTTATACTCCAGTATACACATTTCTTATATTTTTCATAAAAGAATTGAGTCCCCATAATTATATTATATTAAAATATTTTGTTTAAGGGTCTTTTATTGGAAAAGTCTGGTAGAGAATTTATTCAGGATCATTATGGTATCCAATTCATCTCTCAATCACAATTATCAGATGCTCGAGTATTGGAGATAGTGAAGTGAGGAAAGCTACCCTGGGGGGAGAAAGTGACCGTGGGACCCCTCATCCCCCCCCCCCAAGGTTTGCTTCCTACCTAGTGTATATCACTGACTCCTCTCTCACTCATTCTACTGTAACTCATTCATGATGCAATATTATTTACAGTACTGTATTTGTTATACAGGTACATTAATTAGTATAGATAAGTTACTGTAATAATCTGTGTTTATTAATACCTGTACCCTTCATATGCAATACTGTATTTAATTTCGTAGGTAAAAACTAAAGTCACCAAGAAAGCATCTCCATATACAGGGAGTCCCCGGGTTAGGAATGGGTTCCGAATGGCATACAGTACTTAAAGAATAATGTTTAAAATCCCACTATACATCTAAAATGAAAGCAAAAAAAAATTATCGGGTAAATAAAATACAGTAAATTTAAAGTTTAACCTCGTTCGTATCGGCGGGCATTCGTCAGTACCAATGGTACCAAATTAATTTCTCTAACACAAATAAAGTAGGTGGTGTGAATAAAAATTCATAAACTCTTTTGCTAGCCATAAATATATTTGCTACTCAGCTTTTGTCTGCACTCAAGACATCTTCAGGTCATGAGACCCTTTAATCCCACACCCTGGCACTAGGTGACCTGATGCAATGCATGAGACCACCCGGTGACCTGACGCAATGCATGAGACCACCCGGTGACCTGACGCAATGCATGAGACCACCCGGTGACCTGACGCAATGCATGAGACCACCCGGTGACCTGACGCAATGCATGAGACCACCCGGTGACCTGACGCAATGCATGAGACCACCCGGTGACCTGACGACCACCTGGTGATGCATGCATGAGACCACCTGGTGACCTGACGCAATGCAAGAGACCACCCGGTGACCTGACGCAATGCATGAGACCACCTGGTGACCTGACGCAATGCATGAGACCACCTGGTGACCTGACGCAATGCATGAGACCACCCGGTGACCTGACGCAATGCATGAGACCACCCCACCTCCACTTGACATTAATCAGGTTAGGTTGGTAACAAGAAACCCACATCTCCACCGCAACACTTCTTAGGCTTTTTCTTAAAAGAATTGATTCCTCATCTTTATAATCGTGTTTTTGTGACTGTGAAGTGAGCAGTGTAACTTTGAAAATGTCTGGCAAGTGTTTTGTTCATTATCTTTAAGGCTAGGAAGTAGGTTACACCTCCAGTCCCCACTCTTCAGATTCCCCAAAGACTGTGTGGGACTCAGGTTGATGTCTTCACTCCACCTTAAGAGCCCCCTTAGCCTTGAAGGGGACATGTGATGACGACTAGACATCTTCTTAATGATGTGGTGAATGTTATTTAATGGTGTTGTAGTGCTATAGTAGTATTCTAGGAATACTACATATGAGTGTCCGACTAGCCAGGAATCTATCCCATTGAACCCCAAGTTATAATGAACTTAATTTATGATATTTCGACCTGCAATGAGGTTTTCAGGACCCTAACCCCATCGCAAATACTCTGGAGGTTTACCTGTATTACTATTGTGGACTTTTGACCAGTGATATATATACTCATGTACAATATTATAAAATGGTTATTCTCAGGATGAATGAGTCCCTGGCCATCCAGAAAGACAGACAGGTGGGAAACAAATGAGTTGTCTTCAGGTGCAAGGGATATTAATGAAAACAATAGTTCTTTGGGCTAATCCTAGTAACCACCACACAGGGAAAATCTCTGTAGGAAATAATCAATATATGAGATGAGAAAACTCCCCTAGCAAAAGAAAGGACAATAAATTGTAGAAATATCTGATATGAAGCTTCATTACTCATCTCATTTGAATTGATTCCAAATAAGAAAGTTTTAAAAGTGGATGAACAATCAGTTATGTCTTCAAATGACAAAGTGAAAAAAGTACCCTTGCAGATGAAAATGATCACTATAAGAGAGTAATTTACTAATGAGACAATAAAGGAACTTATGGCTTCAATCTTCATAAACAGATCACATCACTCCTTGTCAATGAATCTGTTAATGTAAATGTTCTAGGTTGGCAGAAACTCCCTCAGAAGAAACTGAGATGAAGGAAAAGTAATATCAGATTTAGGTAGAGCAAAAAAAAAAAAAACGCCAAAAATAAATACCCGGTAAATAAATCTAAAATAATTCCTGGCCAAGTTGTAGAGCAAAGTATGGTACTACATACATGTATATCATTTCAAACTGTAGTTAGTGAATACCCAATAATGCCTATGTTCCTAGCAAAAATTATATGGTGCTAAATTTATATAATGTAAAGACCATAAAAACATGAGTCGGTGATGTACTATATAATGATAACTTCTGATTTCAAACAGAGAATTGTGTTTATGTGTGTCAGGTAGGTTGATGGTACTGTGGTTTGAAGTACATATGCAAGGGCAAGTTTAATAACCATAGCTATAACCTACACAGCTGCACACCAAACAAAATTCTATTCTCCTTGGTATTCACTAAAATTTATGATGATTCTGAGCCTACATGAGGTATGACAGACATTCATTGTAGCTAGATAAATTGTGAGAGAGAAATTTGAAAACCCATGTTATTAAGTCCAATTGAGAAGACTGTCAGAGCTTACTTACACGACTTGGAGGTTAAAGGTACAGTGTACTGTATTTACCAAGCCTAGGTACTATTCTACTGTGTGCTACTTCCATTGATACATACTGGACTCAACACTCAACACCACAGAAAAAAAGTCATTCATTCAGTGGAAGGGTGCAGTGCACAGAGTAGAAATACCATAAAAAAGTTTATGGCTACTGTTCCAATATAAAATAGCTTGTTCAGCTATACTGTTCTGTATTCTCTATATATTCCATCTGCCATTCACAAACAATGCATTTTGATTACACTGTATGTTATCTACATCAGTAGCTAAGAGATCTTTAACTGTATGACACAAAGTATATGGATATACAAGCACAATAAACTGTAAAAAAGTAAACAAACAATCTCATAAATCAAACACTTTATATGCTAAAGATTTTTTCTTGCTTCAGAATTTTCTATGGGTGTAGAATGCAAAACTGTTACACCTTCAGATACTACTGTCCATCACCACATTAAATTTAGTCTAATCCAAATGATCAGACAAATTGAAACATTCTAAATAAAATTATATATTCAGTAGTTTTTTTATAATGTACTTTGTGTCTCAGTTTGTGGACGTGCTGATATCTGGGCAGAAGTTCCATTGTCAGGCACATGTTGCGTGATGTAGAGGAGGTACGTAGAAATTAAGAGCAGAGCCGTGAGAAACAGGAGAATGACAGTTGACATCGTGTTGAAGAGGTGTCCATATTCATAGCGAAGGTACCACATCACAACCATCACACAGTACAGTAAGGGTGCCTAAAACAAAACAAAAAAATAATATATATAATCACTTGCAAGGAATTGGAAGAATGTCATGACTTATTTTACCAAACTGAAAAAAAAGATGAAGTCCTTCAATTAGCTACCTTCAGAGATAACGGACAGGGACAATGAAACTTTGGAAGAATACGTCAGAGAATTCAAAGCTATTTCCCCATTGCTTCAAGTGAGGTAAGTTATAGCTACATACTATACACTATAAGAATGCTCAATGACTATGGAGTAAAAAAGACACGGGGTTTTATACATATTTTCATTCAAATTGAAAAACGAAAATGTTTAGAAGTCCCATGGACAAACATGTATTGTTTAGGAAGACTTGCCAAGCACCAGTTTGTATTTACTAGTCATAATGGATAATTCTGTTTTCAGTATTAAGTTAGTACTGTAAGTTGGAAAAGTGAACTTAAATGTTTGGTGTGGGTATCTAGGCCAGTGAGTTCTCACTTCCTGAAGAATATATTAAATAAATCCCATATTTTTCCCCTGATCTCTTATGGGCTGATCACAGGTGGACCAACAACACAAGCTGTATTGGTACTACTTGATTAAATTAAGAAGAACTATCATTGCTGTGGGTAGACTAGGTTGCAACCCACAGACTGGATAATCTCAAAAGTTTCTTCAAATTGACCCGAAGCCATAAAACTACAGGGGGTCCCGGGGCTACGAATGGGTTCCGTTCCCGAGGACGTTCGTAAGTCGGATTTGTAAGCAAGGCAGAATACATGCTATGTGCATACCATACTTACAGAACAATGTTTAAAATCCAACTACATCATAGCTTAAGTCCTTATATACATCTAAAATCACTTAATTTATGATAAAAAAGAAATAAAATGACAAGATACAGTTAATACTAAAAATTTCAGATTTAACCCTGATCGTATCGGCGGCGTTCGAGGACCTGCTGTACTTAGATTGGGTAACATATTGACTAAAATATCACCAACAATTGACAATTCTCTCCTTCATTGGATAATAAGCTAGTGATAAAATACATAAACTAATAATATGAAGCCATGGTGAATTACTGAGAATGAGGTGCACTATTACTGTAAAGGCATTTACCAAAAGTCCTGAGACGTAGGCTTCTTCTTCCTCTTGTGCTGCCAGTTCCCCTGACTGACCTCTGTTCATTTGCTGTGGTTGTGACACATGACAGTGTACCACACAATTGTCAAACAAGCCATACTGTGCAAGAGTTGAATTGTCTTGACTTAAGAGTTGACCATTGAAAATAAGTCGAATGCGTCGATTTGCATCCATTTCTATGGAGAAGTGTTGTCTGTAAAAAAAAAAGAAAAGAAGCAAAACAATAATACACATTCATAATTATCATTGTTGTATGGCCATTTTCCATGGTTGCGTGAGTTAGCCATGATTACCTGATGGCATGGTGTCCTGGTTGTTATCAGGCATCTCCATGGTGTAGATTAATATAATCTTTTTCTTTTCTATTTTTAATTTCTTTTTACTATCATGCTCAGTTTTGGTTAGGTTAGGTTAGGTTGGAGTTAGGCCATTTTGGTCACAGGATGGGGCCGTTTTGGTCACAGGGTGTGGCCGTTCTGGTTTGGGCTGTTTTCGATTGGGGCCGTTTTGTCTCGAAACCGACTTTCCCCAGCAGCAATGTATAAGATTTATTGCAGACCTACCTAACCTGACCTAACATCCTAGAAAATAAAGGTTTTATTTTGTTATCTTACTTTTTTGGGGTGGCAGTAGAGAGCAGTTGCAATAAAATGATGGAATTACTTGAAAATGGTAGTCAACATAAGTGAATAGTTTGGCATCACTGCATGCAGAGACAGCACTTTTACTGTAAATAAGACAAACCAACAAAACCTACCTATCCTAGGATAACAACGCATTATTTTAGGATATACAGGATTGTATTATGTACTGTAGGTAACTACAAGGAAGTTATTTGCAGCCTGCAAATTATATACTCAAATCCTCCATCTGCCTATTGGAATGAGCTTAAATAACTTTTTTGTATTCTTTCATAATAGGTAACTTTGAGCATACAACCTGAGACAAGAATGTCCCGAAAGGAAAGAAATATAGGTATAGCACACAATCATCATGGCAAACTTAAACAGTAAACTTTAATGTGATCTGACAGTTACCAGTACTGTATATAATACTGTATATACTGTACTTCAGGTAATATACTATACATCTGCCCCCAGTTGCTGGTCCCACCAAAAGGAAGTGTAAATATCATTCACCATACAGTAATTGATAGTTCTGTATATCCCATTCAGATCCCTGTATTTGCTAACCTCAGATATCATTATGTAAGCCAATATTTAATCATACCCTTTACCCATGATAAAATGGTGCTTTTACAGGCATTCATTGATAATTAGGGTACAATACAGTATTTGACCAAGTCATTGAATATGATATACAGTACAGTAGTGTAGTTTTGAATCTCGCACGCACCAGTGTGGTGGTGAGAAGGTAGCGTCGCCCACCCGCCTCACCCATGCGTTCTCAGCCTGCCAAAATTCAGTTTCACGCTTTCTACCTTGGTAACAACAACTAGCACTGCTCCATGGGTTATTTTTTCAGCCCAACATAAAAAATAAATAAATAAATAAAAAATAAAAGAAGTTTGGAAAACGACGTGCTGGTACTGCACCCAAGAAATCCCGTCTTTCTTTCTATTAGTTTAGACGTGAAAATTCAGGAAGTGTGGAATCTGGAGAAAGACAGGCAGAGGTGTGACCATGACAGTGATGTCACATAAGAAAGTGATGTGCCTTTGGACATACGGTGCAGTACGGTACTTGGCTAGTTTAAGTGTAGTTTAAGTGTATGTGTTTCAATTATTTAAGTGATAATTATGGCATTCCCATTGCTCATGGTGTCACAATCTGGCGGCCCCTCACGAGTGACATCACACCTTCAGTCAGCTGAGAGGACTGCCACTGCTCAGGATGTTCATCATTTAAGGATATTTTTTTTTATGTTTAATAAATGAGTATTCAAAGATGTAATATATTTTTAACCTGTACAGAACGTTAGTATGCTATTATAACACAAAGCTAGTAGTCTGCTCTGGTTCGTGCATAATGAAAGGCTCTACTGTATGAAGTTCACTGAAAAGGTGAGCGTAACTGAAAATGTGCCCTGGGAATATAGTGTCTATATACCATCTCACTTTTTGGAACACATCTATGACGTAAATCAGTGACTTTCTGTATTTGCTTACCTCAGACGTCTTTATGTAAACTAATATCCAACCATGCTCTTTTCCCATAAGAGAGGTCATCTGGTCTAAATATTTGACACTTCGATAAAATTAACTGGGAACCTTTTGCTTCATATATAGCCTCTTGGGTTCTTAAGTAAAGCACAGTACAGTACCTTCTCAACTCAATATCTTCCTTAATGATATAAAATTGTTCACTATAGCCATAATAGTACAGAAATTTTCTTGTGTCACCTGAAAACTATCATTGTGTAGTACAGTACAGTAATCAACATTTATTCTTACCTTTTAAAGCTTCCAACTTGCTCAGTCAGCAGGGCAAATACAAATCTCTGAGTCTCATCAAGGAATTTCAGGCGAATTCTTATACTGCCAGGTGGTCTCTTATCCTCCCCATCTTCCTTCAGAGAGGAAGTAGCATCTGCAGCACTCGATGAGGAAGAAAAAGTTTCGGTGGTTTTGACTACGGGAATATATGCCTCTTCTCCGACAGAACTATCTGAAGTTGCACTAATTTTATCTTGTGCACAACTCTGTTCATTTCTTACTTCTGTAGGTTCCAAAGCAATACCAGAAGATGCATCGGAGTGGGTTTCTGAACATGCAGTACTCCCTCCCATGGATATGAACTGCTGTAACCTTCTTTTCCGGACCTCCATCTCAGGTATGCTTTCTCTCAGTTTCTCTGAAGGTGATACATGGGACGGAATAGAAGAATCAGTGGACTGATTTGTGATGCTGCCTTCACTTGCTCCTTGACTGAGACACTGATCTGACTGTGCATTTCCTGATGTGGTGGTATTGTCTTTATTATCACTTTTCTGAACAGAACTTTTACTAATTTCATCTGACAGTGGTGTGCTCATATCACATACTTCCCCGTTTTGACTCCCATCTGTCAGTTCTCCACCAGTTCTCTGTGGCCCTTCCATTTCTGCTGCATCACTGACTTCCGATTCTCCACTTTCTTTCATTTGAGAAGTTGACCTTACAGCTGTGGCTTCCCCTTCTTGTACACTGCTGCCTTGAGTCTCTCTCTCACTCTGACCACTATCACTGTGAGTTCTTTCCCCCTCCCCTGTATTTCCACTCTGAAATACAACAACTGCTGTAGCTACCAATGGTTGTTCCCTCACGTTTGTTGACAACCATGCCGCTGCTATCACAATTGATACAACAATTATCACAAGAATGGCAGTCACTGTATCTTGTATACCTTCATAGCTTATCATTGTACTACAATCGTGGCAATGCTTGTTGTTCTGACTTCACTGTGGCTGGTAGTTCTGAAAAATACAGAATGACAGATTACAAACCCTATTAAAATACTTAAAGGAATATTTCTACACCAAGGAAAATATTCATAAGTTTATGATTGAAAATTAATCTATGAAAGTAGGAGAGGAAAGAGAAAGGAAGAGGAACTGTATAAATAAAAAATCAATGAACTTCTGAATCAACCACTTTTAAATTGTGGCTGTTAGGCTTCAATCTTAAGGCATAAAGTACTGTATATTAAAGATCATATGAACCAACTGAACCTGTATTTTTAAAAGAAGTAGTATACAGTATAGTTCAGTACAGTACAGTACCCCTGTACATATATTAAGTTTCAAAATACAGGAGATCCCCGGGTTATGAATGGGTTCCGTTCCTGAGGAAATTCTTAAGTCTGATTTCTACATAAGTCGGAACACACGCTATGTGCATACCTCACTTACAGAATTATGTTTAAATTCCCACTATATCATAGCCTAAGTCCTTATGTACATCTAAAATCATTTAAAACAGAAGAAGAAAACGAATGACAAAATACAGTAAATGAAAAAACAAAAATTTGTCATCAGGTAAATAAAATACTGTAAATTTCAAGTTAAACCCCCCTTGTATCGGTGGGTGTTCGTAAGTCAGGGACCCCTGTACATTGGAACACAATTAGGACAATACTCAAAGAGCTCCACATTTTTAAACAATTTATTGAATATAAAATATGCCCGATTTACACCAACAAGAATGCAACACATCCCTTTTTTCTAGAATTAAAAGTTTCAAAATAAAGGTGGAGGATTTGCAAGTTTTGTCATTTTGGCTTTTCTTAGTTCTTGTTTTCAATAAATATGCTCCGTCCACCCAAGAATTCCATATATTGTACATTAAACTTTCACAAACACATCCCAGTGTCCAACCAGATGGTTTCTAGTGCCTTTCCATACCTTATCTAACCTAACCTAACCTAACCTGATGGAGGAATTTGCAATTTTTTTAATATTATTTTTGTGATTTTTCAATCCAGAAAATGAATGTGTCAATGCCATATTAACTGTTCACATTATATAATTTGTCATAAATAAGATAAACCAACCAGGCCTACACATCCAAGGATGGAAGTAATGTACAGTATTTTATTTTAGGTCAAGTTTGGTAGGTTAATTTACAGGCTATTATTCCAAAACCACCATAACAACTTCCCCCAAGAAGATCACTAGTTCCTATCCTCCTCCACAGTGGGTGAGTATAATGACCAAATATGGTTAGGTTAGATTAATTTTGGTTCTTCTGGTTGTTTTTAAACCCACATTTTCCCTCTGTTTTAAATCTCTGTCCACTTTTGGTGAGATTACAATTGACAGGGTAAGATGGGTCATATTTCAATACACTAATTATACATTTCCCCAAACTTTCAATATCACCACTATATTCAGCATAAAAAAACTACTGTACATTAAAAAAAGTTGCTATATAGGTGGAGCAGCTAGTTAGCACCAGAAGGATTTTATGGAATGGCACCAAATTTTCAGTTGTTTGGATGATACTAAGTAAGAAAATCGAAATGATAATGTACAGACTCTACTAGAACCTTACCTAAACTACCTAACCTGTGCATTTAAATTTTTGACATGTAAACAAAGATCGTGGACGTTTCCACATAGCAGATGATATAAACCAAAACTTGGTCACCACAAGATATTCAACAGTGCCAAAATTATGGTAGAGGTAAATTTACTGCCATATGATCAGTGTTTGCAGTGTTTTTACCGTTATTTCCCTCTCCTTTCATTCCCTGCCCACTAACAAGTAATTGATGATCAAAGGACAGGCTAAAAAGAACACAAATACTACAATGTTGTCATTTCGATTTTACTATTTAGTATCTTTCAAAGAACAACTGTGGAAAATATGAATAAGATATATAAACACATTCAGGTGCTAACTGTCTGCTCCACCTTTACCATTGTTGCTTCTCATGCCTAAATTCTATGCTGGTTCTTGCAGAATAATTACCAATTTACATTAGGTTAGGTAAGGCATGGAAAGGTCACTGGGAAGCAGTTTTCAACGGTTAAAGCATAAATACATTATGGCATCCTTCACATGTTAGGAATACTCCTAACATAACCAATTTATGATAAATCATTTATACAGTATACTGTACATACCATAACAGCTGCTGGAAGTGTCATGAGTATGTAATGGTCACTGGGAAGTGTTTGGGTGTTCCTGTCAATGAAATATTTCATGCTCATATAAACAGTGCATAAGAACATAAAAAAATAAGGAGTCTGCAATAGGCCGGTTGGCCTGTGTATGACAGCTCCTGTCTTGAGTTACTACCACTCTCTATCATCCATGAATCTATCTAGCCTCCTTTTAAAACTTTCCAGCATTCCAGCACTTACTACAAAGTTGCTAAGCTTGTTCCACTCGTCCACCACCCTATTTGTGAACCAGTTCCTTCCTATCTCCCTCTTAAACCTAAACTTATCCAACTTAAGTCCGTTGCTATGAGTCCTATCCTGCTCGGATATTATAAGAACTGTACCTAAATACTGTATGTCATTGTCAGGAGGTGGCACATCAATGTAAATTAGTGCTTAGAATAAAAAAAAAGTTGTCAATATAACAATAACTGCAAATCCTCCACCTGTTTTGGGGATATTCTTGAGGTATGAAACAACTTATCTATTATAAAAAATAATGTCTTAAGTTATTGGTTAATTAAGACCCCTGTTCCACACTATTACCATGAAAGTAAAATACTAATACCACAAAATAACGAAAAAGTCTCACATTAAAATGATAACATACTGGACATAGGTACGGCAGTTGTATTGACTAATTATGTTGTTAATGGTTAGGTTAAGTTAGGTAAAGAAGGCCATCTCTGTAACTATCATTGTATAGTCAGCCCACCACGCACGTGCATACGGGTGCCGTACCAATGGACATCAACGTTTCACATATGGCTGCAGTACCTACAATATATCCACTACCAAATGATAAGTATTATATAACAACATGATATCGCAAAACATAAATGTTGTTCTTATCACATGAGAATAAAACTCCAGTGACACTGCAATAGTTCATTAGCTTTAAATATTATTGAACATGTAATGAAATACTGTACTCAATTTTCAAAAGGTCATAATACTCTTTAAGGCATACTACTGTATTACTAAATATTCTATGCAAATGAAATGACAATAAAAACTAAAATCTTGCTAAATACCCAAGCCAAGTCAGGCTGACAACACAACATTCATTTCCTTGATATCCCTGACAAAAGATCTAGTACTGTATTGTCTCACATAACATTACCAGTGTTACTATTTAATAATACAAAATTCATGAAGACATAAGACTGAGATGCAAGAACAATTTACGTAGTAGATATCTGGGTTCTTACCAAGACTCTAGAAACTGCCAAAATATCAAATTGCCACCCGACAAATTATATAAAAAGTAAAATAAAAAAAACAAATACCCTTTACTGTCACAGGTAAGAACTGATAACTTAATTGTGGTTACTACACTAAAGGTTATAAGACGTTCAACAAGTGTAAGTGGAGCACGACCATACCTAAAACCTGCCAAAAGATCACCATCACACACAGAGGACAGTTTTACTTTTTACTTTTTTTTTGTATTCTCTCTAGCAGTGTTTACCTACATCTTGCCACTGCGGGTTTTACTTGCGTCAGAAAATTATGTCCATTTTTCGTTCTTTGGTAAAATAATACCTATCACATATAACACTATCGTCCATCAATACATATCTATAAATAAAGCCCAAAAAAATCCACATCTATTTCAAGGTTGATTGTTGTTTTTTTTTAGTGTAGGAAGGACAAAATACTATTGACCTTCTTTTGAGAATGATGTTTGATAAGAGAAAACGGATCACAGTTCACAGGTAATCAGCTGAGTTTTGTTTACCTTGAGAAGAGAGGACTGAGGAGGGGTTCAATCTTAGTCTCTCTCTCTCTCTCGTAATTGTTGGCGTGGCCGGCTGTCTTTCCTCTTCTTAACTCACTCCATCTACACTACTCGGCCATGGCTACTTCAATACCCAGTGCTGTCTCGGGGTCGTCCAGCACCGTGGTAGAGTCCGAGACACCACACCTCGGCGCTGAAGAACAGGTGAGACTTCTCCTAGGGTTAAATTTATGTCAAGTGTTGGACAGGGACTTGGAGAAACACATTCACATGGATAAATAAGTGAGACCTAATGCCTTAAATACACTTACGGCTAAAGAACCAGTTTTATATATATACATATAAATATATATATATATATATATATATATATATATATATATATATATATATATATATATATATATATATATATATATATATTTATGCAAGTAAATCGCTGTATGTGATACATGGAAGTTTAGAAATACATTTGAATGGCAGACTATACTGTACACTAGATATTGTTGCTTGTAGTGGATATTTTCATTTTGATAATGTGGTGTGTTATTTCAAAGATAAATATTCTGTATTTTGATGTGGTCAATTGTCAATAGACTGATTATAATTTACAGTTAACTTGTAATAGTGTAGCTAGTTGATTGTGAATATTATATTCATCTCTTATTAAAACGAGCAATGTGTTTACGGATTACCAATATATTAATACGAAGATGCAAAGTGATATTTTAATCGTGATTTAAGCTATTTCATGAATTGCATTAAATAAAACACTGAAAGGTATAAGAGAAACATAATACTCAAGGATATCACCAAATAACCAGTAACTTTACAAAATATTTCTATAGAAGAAAACTTGTTTCTTACCTCAAGAATATCCAACACCAGGTGGAGGAATTATATATTATTATTATTATTATTATTATTATTATTATTATTATTATTATTTTAATTGTGTGGGAGTTCTACTCACCCTGTAGTTTTTGTGTCCAGTAAATACGATCCATCACCCATGGGTACCACATTTCTGCTTCAACTGTTGACAAACACTTCCCAGTGACTGAAGGAATGCTGCCCAGTAACCTTCCTATACTGTTCTTTACCTAAACAAACCTAACCTAACCCAAAATAATAAAATTCCATTTTTGGATAGGTAGGTTTGGTTAGTTCATTTTGTCTATAACAAATCATATAAAGTAAACAAGTCAGTGAGGTGTTGTGTTCATGTAAAAAAACAACAAACAAATCACTAAAACGATAGGTAGTGGATATTTTGCCATGACCAGTTAAGTTCCTAATAACACTTTTTTACAGTGAGTGCACTCTGATTGGCTAATCATCCATTACCGGCGAACAACGCGAGAATATGTGACCGTTACTCTGGTGGCATTTGGCATTTATTTCACCGTGAGTCAATCGTTGTGTAGGAGTTGTTCGAGTTTGCTCATTTTTCCACAAATGTCTTATTATTATAAAAGAAGCAACATTTACGAGAACCTAATAGAACCTGACATAACCTACCAAACTTTACCTAACTTCCCTGCCTGGGGGGGGGGGGGTAGACCCCCCTTTATATTAAACAAAGTTCTTAGCCAATCAGAGCGCACTCATGGTAAAATAGCGTTAGTAGGAACTTAGCCGGTCACGGCAAAATATCCACTTTGAAAACAATAACATGAAAATACTGTACGTAGTTCCTCCACTTGGTTTTATATATTTTTGAGGTAAAAAACTAGTTTTTGCTTTAGAAATTTTTTGTATAGTAGCTGGTTATTTGGTGACAGTATCCTAGAGTACCTGTATTATCAAAATAAATTAACTAGGAAAAAGTAATTTTTATGTTTTGTTTATAGGAATTTAGCAGTCCTCCTGAAATGTGAAAGTCTTCTAAACCAACAGGAAACCATAGTAGCTACATGTATCATTTGATTTTATTATTAGTTTCTGCTAATACCTGTAGTGTATATTAACTTTATTAATCTGTAAGATTCCTAATTATTAAGTCTACTACAGTTAACTTTTCAATGTGTCATCATTCTTCTACATCCACCATATAGGTTACCTGTACTCCTCGAACTCAGGTGAGGACAAATAGACTCGTCACTCACCACCATGCACACAGTCACTGAGACAGTTGCTTGATTATCCAGTTTCTCTTTTCAGTATTTTTAAATTTCATGTAATATTTAGAATACTAACACATTCTGTTGAATAGATTATTTGGTAAAGAAGATTTTTGTTGACAGATACTGTACTTTACTGAACATGTACAGTACTGTAGTTATGGTAGATAAGCTTTTTTTAACAAACTGCTTTTTTCATATATAGTACTGTACAGGTATTTGTGTATTTATATATTTACTGTACGTATATTAATCTTTGTTTATGTTTATATAATAATGTACACTACTCTTATAATTTTAGAGTTTCCTGTTAATTCATTTTAGTGCTGTTTTCTTACACTTTCTGGGCTTTCATCAGGATATGTAGTTTCACCTCAGTGTTAAATCCTTCTTTTTTATGGGTGATGGGTCTGGCCCACAAGTCTCTGCTTATAGCTTGATCCTTTATCTTCCTTCTTTAATGAATTGTATGAGGGAGGAAGAAAGATTTTTTGTCTGTGTCTGTTGTTTTATGTTTGTCATGTTTAGGTTTTTAGAAAACTTTTTTTTTTAAGTAAACAGTTATGAACTGAGGTGCATGTACTACTCGGTAAGACTACAGTTCTTGTGGAAGTTGATTGTGTCTGTGGTCTGTCTCATATCTTGTTGATTAATAACCTAAATATACCGGGTAGTTGTGAGAATGGTGTAGAAGTGTACGGTATATCTTGTGATAATAGGCAAGATAAAAATTGATTTGCTGTGTTGAGTAATAAAACAATATTTTATTTCCACATGTGCTTCTTTCCTACTGTATTGATGTATGCAAGAAGAATTCCATGTATATCCCATAACTTACTTGACTGTGTAATAAATAAGATAAGATAATGCTATCAAATCCATCACACTTATCTATGTCAAGGGCAACTTAATGTAGAATTGGTACATATATTTTAGTTGTTAATTTAAATTTTGACATTCAAACACAAATAGAACATTAGAACAGTACAGTATATATAAAACAAGCACAGCTATTCAAACACTTTCAACTTTATGCTAATTGAGAAACATTCCTGTATACAGTATATTATGCATGCAGGTTACATACACTTACTGTACAGGTAGATATTTTTACTTTGTTCAGATTTATTCATTTATTACTGTTGTTTTAATTTACTGTATGTATTTTCTCAGGTAAGTTTACATTTAATTTTGCAATATCAAGTCTTACATCTTGAAAGTTACCATTTGCTCGCCTTAATATGAGGCCAAGTTTTTTTTTTTTTTATTATTATTATTATTATTATTATTGCCCCTCCCTTCCCTCTCATACTTTCTCCAGCCATGACACTTTTCCCATCTTATTTAGTGTTCCTGGGTACACTTTTGACCTTCACATCTGCTCCTATTTACTGATTCACCCTTCCTGCTTTATTCACTTATTAGATAGTGACACCATATTATATTTTATTCTTTTATATATATATATATATATATATATATATATATATTTATATATATATATATATATATATATATATATATATATATATATATATATATATATATATATATATATATATATATATATATATATATATATATATATATATATATATATATAAACTAAATAGTGGGTTCCTTTACTCAATATTACATAATTATGTAAATGAGGGGAAGGGAGACCTTGAGCCTGTCCAGCCCACTGCTCTCAGGGCCATAATTTTCCTACAACTGCTTGTGTAGTTTAAATGACACTGGACCAAGATAGTACTAATGTTGAGGGTGGGATATTGTGTATGATCCCTCCATTGTTCTTGATAGTTTTGTCATGAGAAATCACATGTATGTAAAGGGCAATTTCAACTATCAACACTGAGCCAACTACTGGCTACCTATTTACTACAGTACTACAATTATGTTGTCGATTTAGATGCCAGAAACTCTGCTGTTGACATTTCCTGTGTGGCACTTTTACTTTCAGATACAGTCTCTCTCTCTCTCTCTCTCTCTCTCTCTCTCTCTATATATATATATATATATATATATATATATATATATATATATATATATATATATATATATATATATATATATATATATATATATATATATATACTCTCTCTACTCTCTCTACTTTCTCTACTCTCTCTCTCCTGTACAGTACAAAGTGTCCTGAGGCCAAAGGGAGCACATGCTTCCTTATCTGTCTTTGAAAAAGCAAAAAACTACAGCACATTGATTTTACTTGGCAGATGGGTTGAACATTCTCCAAGGATGAGCTGATTTTAGATAGGAGAAAGTAGGTCAGATATTAAACTACAGTCCGTGTCTGGTCAAGGTCACAGCATGGTTGAAATGAGCAAGTTCTGCCCATCATAGCAAATATATAATAAAAAAGTAGGTTAGGCTAGTATAGTTGCTGTCCAGCTTGGTGGAAGAGTGTATAATTAGGTCAGGCTTGAATAGTGTGTTGTGTTGCATTTAGTGAAAAGGTGTAAAAGTAGGATACTGTAATTCTGTCCAATGTGGTTGTAACTGTGTAAATTGTGTTTAGTGTGCAGTAGTGGAGGAGAACTGAAGTAGGTCAGTCTTGTTGTTGTGCGGTCACATCCTAATTTCATCCCTGAAGTATATTATTTCCTCCATAAGCATTTATTTTTTACTATTAATTAAATAATCTCTAGACATTATAAAAACACTGACCTATCACAGATGCTCACCCTAAACCATGGTGTATGATCACCAGTGACTCGGAACCACCAACCATCTTCACCACATACCGATAAACCAACCATCCATTTGCACCACTAACTCCACAAACCATCTGCACTACCAACTATTTACACCACTAACACTCTCCTCTACCACCACTGTATCACCAGTACACTTCTACAGACCTTACTGAGTAGTTTAACAACCTCCTGTGCAACATTGTGAGACTTACCTTCACACCACCACCTGGACACATTTACATGCTGACCCTGCTGACTTACAACCCCCTTGGCAAGGATACCTGGCTTTCAGTTTGTGACCCTTACTCACATTCCTTCACCAATAGGCAACCAGATTGCCTTTCCATCCATTATCGTACTGCAGTGTGTATTTACTCATGCTGGCTATGGTTCCACAACTTGCTGGCATTTATTGTCAGTAATCAGAATTGTTATTTTATTTTTGTCATTGTTCACTGTACTGTGATGTAACTAATTTTTATAATTATGTAAGTACTGTACATGGTACCTTGTGTGAGGTACAGTACAGAGTATTTCATAATGTAATTTCATACTAAGTACAGTACAGGAATTACTGTAGTGTATTGTACTGCATCTGTTATTTCCTAAATACCAGGATTCTTAGAGCCTACCCATTAGAATTGGAAACCAGTCCCAAGAGGCCCTAACACTTATATTTTGGTTATGGCCTGTTGGAACTGGGACCCATTTGACCTGCAACTGGTTCTACACAAGCCATGAAGTTTGCACTTCATGGGTCATAAACCTCAGTTTCATAGACTCAGTTTGATCATTTGTTTTACAAGAGAATACAATACCTTTTTCATACAGTATTTTGTTGTGAAATGTTTTTAAAACTATGAGCTTACATTGCAGGTTTCTAGCGGTGTTGTGAGGCTGAAGCTGCACAAGCCAAGAACGAAGAAGGTTAGCTGGACAAATGATACAATTGATAATGAAAATATGGGCAAGAAGAAATCAAAGTGTGAGTGATAATGCCAGTTAAAAGTACCTTTCATGGTAAAGTGGAGGGTGGTGGAATAAGAAACAACATAGATGTTCTCTCACCCATTGTCATTTGTTCCTTCTATCTGTTTTAACCATCTGCTTTAGTAAATGGAGTTATGTTCTGAGGCTTAAAAGAATTAATTTTTTACAATTGTAGAATTTATTACCTGTGCATGCATGATACATGGTCTGTATGTCAACTTTGTTCTAACGAGGATATCCACCTTATCATGTTTGATTATAGCAGCTAGACTACCTCAGAACGGTAGTTATCTTTCCGTCATCATAGTTGGACCTCGGTCATAATAAAAAAGTTTTTCAAAGGAACTGAATGTTGTTGGGGTGTTGGTAGTATACATCAGTAACACAAAAATCTCTATTGTGTCCTGGATTCAGTTCCTGGCTTGGGACAGATGTGAGAAGGGTGTTATCTTGTTTGACACTACCAAATATTGCAAGTGTTCTTCAGATAAGTCAGTTTCCATGTGTACTTACACTGGACGATAAAGGTCATCTAATATACTATAGGATTAGGCGTGTGTGTGTCTGTTCTGGGCAGCCGAAACGGCACAATCGTTTTTCATCAAACTTGGTGGAAAAATTGCAAAAAAAATCGTAGAGTGGAACAAACTGGTCCCATGTCGATGGTTTCTTTAGGAAGGCATTAGTTGACAATTTTATTTACGATGGAAAACGATGCAAGTCTACGGACTTGGCGCACCCTAATTAACCATGCAGGTTTGGCACTCCCTCAGTCGCTGTATGCTGTCACGAGCGTTCAAACTCTCACAAGGGCACGAACGTGCCCGCGATCACTTGTAACATACTAGCAAAGAATAGATCAAGATTACAGTAAGCTAGTGAGTGGTGAGATGATATATAAATAAGACAGAATGATCACTGGACCAAGATAGTTTCCCCCTAAATATACTGTTGCCTTACTTCAGCCATTACAAATATACTATTACTGGATCTAACTTCTGTGCTTTTTTTTTCACTTGACCTTCAATGTGGCTGTTACCAAGAGCCACATTAACAAGACAAGTTTTTACATACAGGTATCTAGCTTTTCAAATTACGACAGAAACTACAGTAATTTCTTCGTTAACCAGAATCTCCTATCCAGTAACGGGAAAATATTTTTTTAGCATTCTGAGAAATGCAAGGAAAAATCCCTCCATTCCGGGTTTGGGGACGAATTTCCAAGATTGTATCATATTTCAAATGTAGGGACATGTGCCTGGCCCTAAGGAAGATGTCAGTTGCTTCATTTTACAGTACAGGTAGTTCTGCTATAACGCGATAATTGTGTTCTTGTAAAATATCGTGTTATAGAAAATCGCGTAATAGAAATAACAGGGCTTATGGAGAAAATAGGGTTAGGTGCAGATTACTCGAAATCGAAAAAATTTAGTAGTTAGCCTAACACAAAGGATAGCACAGTCTAAATAAATGTTACATTCATATCTAATAATGAAATCATACAGTAAATGTAATACTTTACCTTGACAAAATATGAATGTAACTTGATGGGGGAGAAGGGTGATTTTGAGGTTGATAACATCGAGCTTCTCTTCAAGTGTTATATCCTTTCTTTTACGATCATCACCGGGAATTCTATCACCAGAACGCTTCTTGGAGATATTCTTCTTTACCATATTCACAGTTAATACCACAAAATTGGAGAAATAGTAAGCAAAAATCGCGTTATAGCAAACAAGCGTTCGCGTTATACAAATATCGTTCCTAATTCATAAATCGCGTTAGAGCAAATTCGCGTTATCAAAACACGCGTTATAGCAGAACTCACTGTACGTATTTCATTGTGTGGGATTTAGGAAAGGATTTAAAAGACCCTTTACTTTCATGGTTGAACATGGGGCATAAGAGAAAACTTCCTTGGTTTTTAATCCAAAACAGTCCTAAAGGGGCTGAAATAACAAGCTTCTACTGTATCTCAACAATGAAAAAGATAAATTTTCCAAATGATTCTCAGGAGGTTTGCTTTTTTTAACGGAATAATTAAATAACTACCATTCTGGTGTACTGTGCTGTAGTCTAAAAGCAGTACTCAGTTAGGATAAGACTGTATGGATATATTGGATACAACAAAGGTGATTTATGACACCATCTCCTTACCACTGATCATAACATGGAATTTCAGGATGAACCCTTCATTTGCTGTAATTTTCCCAGTTCCTTTATTATTACTGTATTTGCTATCACTGTTACATTTGAAATGCCTGATTACAACTTAAAACAATAATACAGTACTGTATTTTCCACCATATAAGATGCACTTTAAAAAAAAGTTTTAAATAATCATCTTGCGCTTTATTGACGATGGTTAACATGAGGAGAATGTGATCATCAGTAGTAAAATTAACCCAGACTCCTCCTCTGAGACATTGGTTACCAGATGACCCTAGAATTAATTACACAGGATCACAAATTACTCAAGAAGGAAAACAAAGTGAAATAAATGCAAATGTAAAAGCCCAAAGTTGGTGAATCCATTTGCAGTACTGTTTACTTTTCAAAATCTCCCATCTCAGGTTGTTGTGTTTACGTGAAGCCACATGAAATCAACGACAGCAGCTCGGACTCAGACGACGAGTGTCAACATTGCTCGGGCCACGTAGAGAAGAAGAAGAAAAATCAACCACAGTCAGAAGAATCACATGGCAATGAGGGTATGGAAATTTAAACTTTAAAACATCTTTTATTTACTGCTAACACTTTAAGGATAGTTCAGAAGAGAAGCCAATATGAGTTGCCCAAATAATCACTTCTCTGAGATGAAAAGGAATTGACTTTTATTCTCCTGGTGGTTCTCAGTAACTAAGTGTATATGTACTGTAACCGGATATATTGATCACTTGTGCATCCTTAGCTCCCCATCATCCTTTTATAAATGTGTTTTCTGTTAGTTTTGTTTTTATTTTGCCCATGAAATACATTTAAGGCAATTGGGGAAAGAATGACGAACATGCCAAAATGATTTTATGAGATAATTGCAGTTGAAATTGGCATTTCTAACTTATTTCCCGTGTACCTCTGTAATCCACGACATGATTATGATGAAACTGATGTAAAAATTACGAGAAATTTAGTCGAGTTTAAGGATATGTAAATGAATCTTGAACCGCGATTATCTCACAAAATGATTTAGGGGTATTTGTTACAATTCCCCCGAGCGCCGTATATGTTTTAATATTTTTCTCTATCGGTGTTAAGACTGGTGGATACAGCAAAACTTCACTAATTAAAGCTATACTTGTTACTGTACATGTGGTAAGGGTGGGTTAAATTAGCTGATAATTTATATAAAAAAGAATACAGTATAGTCTGCATTTACGCAGATTTGGTTTACGCGTTTGGTCATTTACTCGGCACCTTGCCAGAATGAAAATTTTAAGTTACGCGGTTCATTCCATCATTTACGCGGGAAGCGGCGCCTGGAGGGTGCGCAATAGGTCGCTCTTACGTTATTGCTGACGCCATTTGACGTATCGGACTGTGATTGGGCCACGCATCCTTACCTCCCTCCACTGCTAGCTTTGATTGGTCTAGTGTAACATGACGTGCCCTGCCACCAGAGGGAAGAAGTCGCTGACCTAGACGGGCCAGTCTCATTGTTCTCAGTTCTCCGCGTATATACTGTTCTCTCTTGTGCCCGCTATTCCCCTCACAATGGTTTCCGCTGGACCCCCACCACCCCCGAGAAACCTTGAACTACCTGGACCAAGCCATGGTTATGTGAAGGAAGTCATCGAGTTGGGGAGAAAATCAAGCTCATGCTTGACAAAGAGACAGTCAAGCATCGGTATGAAGTGTCTAATAACCTTCGGTCTAAAATTATGGAGCCGTATGTCCAGATGTATCTCAACAACATCAATGCTAGTCGTCAACGTAGTATTACGAACTTCTTTGCCCGCAACCCATCACAACCACAGCCAGCCCAAGTCAGTGATAGTGACAGTGAGGATATGGACTTTGAGGGGTTTGTCAGGGAGGCCCTGCAAACCTCTGTGAATAGTGATAGTGATTCACCGGAGGGCCACTAATCTGCCCTCTGCCTCGGAACTAGCCGCCATCCACGTGTGCCGACCCATCTCTTCTACTAATGTAAGTGTTAAACACCTTTAGATTTGTACAGTAGTGTAGTTTTTTATTTAGATATTATGTGTGCGTCAATACCATCATAAAATTATGATGTTATTTTTACTACAAGGTACCGGTACGTATTGTGTCGGAAAAAGTGGAGTTTGGGAGCCGGCCCAGTCTCTATTTCAATTAATCCCATATGTAATGTTATTTCGTTTACGCGTTTCTCGTTTTATGCGGACCTCCACGGGTTCAATTGACTGCGTAAATGCAGACTATACTGTACTGTACAGTACTACTGTACAATTTCAAGTGGCTTTAAGTGTATCGAGAGAACAAAGGTTGGTGTTGACCAGACTGGCCAAACATGGTGGGCTTGGCAAGAATTATCATGATAATTTGGAGCCCCTAATCTTCATCTTGTGAAATTACAGGAAAATTCATAAACTAAACTACATAACTATTTATGGATGACCAGGACTAGAAAAAGTACTCAAAAATTATTACTGAAAGCTAATGTGTACTCTTCCAAGGGATAATTTTTCTTCTGTAAAAGTACTAAGTAGTCTTCTTCAAATGACTACAAGTAAAAGAACAGATTACCTCATCTGAAATTTAATCAGATTCAGATTTGCCTCACACAGTGTAGGGGCTAGTTTATTGGGCACTCCCATACATTCTTGGAGGATACAGGTACCCTCTATCTCCTATTAATAGCTGGCTTTAGTATTGGGAATAGCTAGGTTCTAATATATGATTATAAATGGTGAATTGATTCTGAGATCTCATTTTATAACAGTCAGGACTAAACAATTGGCATCTCTACCTGCTCCCTCTAAAGTGCTTAAGTGAGTTGGATCTTGGAGCTTGGTACTTTAGATACCTTCTTACGGCTGATGTTAAAAGCAATAATGGATTGGACCATTCATGTTTATGCCTTGCAGCAATACTCTTGGACGTCTCCACTTTTTTGTGTACCTTTGTGCCAAAAGGGTATCCTTCAGAAGTGGTAAGAAGGTGAAGTACCTTTATTATAAAAAAATTGAATTATATTTTTGTTTAACCCTTAACTGGTGGCTATAGATTCCCTACTTCATCCCATATGATAAAAAATGGCATGCAAGGAACATGAAATATCCACTGATGATGGCCACCATCCCAACAGCTAACTTATACAGTACTTGATGATGGCTGGCATTTCAGGGTTAAGATCTCAGTCACACAAGTCTGGGCAAGAGAGTCTTGAGGGTCCTACCTCCTAGACATGTTGCCTCATCAGAATTGCTTGATCCAAATTTGGTTTGAATGTAATTTCAGGATCAAGCCACCATTTTTGTGTTTTAGGTTTAAAGCACCAAGTTTTATGTACAGCGTTCATCTACAGGCACAAGGTAAATTAAGTATAAAAACTGAGAATTTACATCTCTTAGCAAGTAATACTCCAATTTTCTCAGGTTATGGGAGTCAACGTGCATCTTGAGTATTAACGCCCGTATTATTAAACAACATCTTTCCTTGAAGAGGGTCGTCGTGTTTCAACCCGAGTTTTAAACTAAATGAGTCCTGAGGGACACCACAGTACAGTACTTAACGGGGTGGTGTGGCAGAAAAATTAACTAATTCCAATATTATATATTGATTTTATTGGAATTAGTTAATTTAACCACCACACCACCCCGTTAAGTACTGTACTGCGATGTCCCTCAGGTCTCATTTAGTTTAAAACTCGGGTTGAAACACGATGACCCTCTTCAAGGGAAGATGTTTGATAATACAGGCGTTAGAGTCTTGAGTATTACCACTGTACAGTATTTAGGTAGAAAAGGACCAATTTAATATGTTTAACTGTTGTTCCTTCTCAGTTTCTTAGTGGACCATTTTCTTTTCAGATCCGTCTGGGGGCAAATGAACATTAACATGAAATTTCTTACACAGTAATTGATTGACTTAGATAATAACTGCTGTACTGTACTCATGTCATCTTCCTTTACAGTTTGTTGTAAGAGGAATGCAAATAGATGAAATGGGGTGAATTGTCATGTTTTGGAATGTATATGAGTATTTTCCATACCAAATACTGTACCACTTTACTCCCTAGAGTAGATGTTACTGTCACTATCCTCTACCAGGGCCAAATGTAGCTTCCAAAAACATATGAAAACTGAAACTTTAAATATTTATTTTTCTTAAAAGCTCGTAAAAAAGACATTGTTATAATACACAATGGTTCAGTGTGCAATTTTTTATAACATGCAAGCGTGTAAAGGTGGAAGGTTATTTGGCTTGTTAGTAGAGTACAGTAGGAAGTATTTCAAACATAATGGGACAACACATGTATATTTGAAATGCAGTAGACAGTATACTGTATATGTTAAACCAAGTTTGAGTGACTGTTGATTATTCTACCTTGTGGACTACAAGTGATGAAAGTGGTACTGGCTTCCAGGTTGTGGGAGTGAAATGTTTATGTACTATAGTGGAGGATATTTTTGATAGAAAGTTGTCAATATGCATTGCATATAGTTAATGGTTGATACACAAGTGCTGTATATAGCTCGACTGTTACTGGAAAAAAGTATTGATTGTTTGACTATGATGGGACACACATTACCCATTTTATGTACTCTTGTCTCCAGAGATGATGCATAGAGTATGTCTTGCACACTCACTTTTGAAGAATTGTTATGCTATTGTTTGCTTTTGAATTTATAATTTTTTATATTTATACAGTGATCCCTCGGTTAACGAGCGCCTCGGTTAACAAAATTTCGGTTAACGAATTACCTTCTATAAGATTCTTCACTTCGGTTAACGAGCAAATCCTCGATTAACGAATTCCTTACGAGCGCCCCTCAACATGTTTTCGCTTGCTCACTAGTTGTCGTATTAGTCCGCCAAAACAGTAATCGGTTCTAGGGCTTAAATTCCTTACCATTTTAGTAAATATCAAGAAGGCTGTATTATTCAATCATTTTAAAAGTTTTACATTAAATTTTTTTGTCATTTTAACAATTATTGAACATAATTGAAGTACTGTACAGAAAACTAGTTTTATGCGCGCCAAACAGCCACTCAACACACCAAGCTTGGCGTTAGTTTGTTTACAGGTTCAGAGGAAGGAACATCTTGTTTGAGACTCTTCAACATAAATGCTTTTTTTCCTGTGTTCCAGTCAAATTATTGGTCATTTTGAAATATATTTTACATATACTGTATTGATGATATATAGCGCAGTGCAGTGTTGATTTAAAGAAAATAATCTTGAATTACACGAAGTGAACTAAAATTTTATGGGTGAAATGGCGGCATGGGGTGACTTCTCTTTCACCCCAATGCCTTCTCTTCTCCCTTCTCCTCCACCCCCATTCTAATTCCCATCATCATCATCAACCAGGAGCCTTCTACATGCACACCTCAAAGTAAGTGTACTTTACTGCATTTATTTTTCGTTTGTATGTAATTTTCGGTGAGCTGGAACCAATTACCCAAAAACCCATTGAAACAATGGTTTCGGTTAAAAAATTTTTCGGTTAACGAGCAACCTTCTGGAACGAATTGTGCTCGTTAACCAAGGGACCACTGTATATATTTTGACAGTATTTTCATTCATGAGTGCTTTAAATTTAGTCTCTTTGCTGACAATTCAACATATATCATCATTAACTCCAGTGACTTTTAATATTTCAGTGTCTATGAAATATTTTTTTACATATTTTTTGTGTCCAGACATCAGGAAGAGATGATATGTATTCCACCTTAATGTTTTATCAGATGCTGTTTACTAGTCTTCATTGAAAACAGAGGTTTGGTTTTCAAGATCAGCTATTGGGAGGGATCAGATAGGCCCCCCTACATAACCTAACCACTAGATTAGGTCAGATTGGGGATTCTTAGGACTGGGGCCTATATAACTAGTTACCAGTGGGATGTAAGTTTCTGTAAAGACAAATTGTAAATAATGAACCTGTCAACTTTTCAGTCAATTAACCCATACAAATTTGGAAAATGTCCATTAAAGGTTGATAATAATGAATCTCTATCAATCCTGTGTGACTTGAATTTTGGATGGTGAGGAAGCTTTAAAATGGTGAGAACAGATTACTGTATGCCAGTATAGTTGTTTGTGTTATCATGTATGCATTATATTTGTATATTCATAAAGACAATGGGTTGAACATATACTATTTCATTAACATACAAATCAGTTAAGGCTTTGAATGCTGAGGTAACCTCTTAATGGGAATCACATTACAAAACCCACTACCCGTACTCATGTGCAAATATTTTCTGCAATTAGATTTAAATACTGTAACAACTTTTTTTTTAGGGGTACTAAATTTAGTTTTAATACAGAAATGTAGATTAATTTTTATGTTAGGAAATTAAAATTACCCGATATTTATAAAGATGACAAAATATAGTGTTGGGTTTTAGTCATTGATAATAATTAAGGTTATAATTGTGTGTAAAACTGTAAATTGTAAGGTCCTGATAATTATGTTGATTGACCCATCCCTCACTGATGCTTACAATATTTGTACTGTACTGTATGTATTTTTATTTTATTTTAGTGATGCTAATAATAAACCATGGTCACATGTTGAAATTTCACTTGTTAAGAAAGATGATGACCTTAAGCAATTCTGTACATTTGTTTGTTAATAAACAAAAAAAAATTAATCCCATATATTATCTTGGAATTATACAGTATGATTGGGTAAGTTGCACTGGTAGTCTATTGATAATTATCTGTGTTTACAAATTTCGTAAATCTCCGGAACTCAGTCTATTTTAACTTGACAAAATTTATTTTTCATTTGGCTCCTACTGTATTACGTTTAAACCAGCTTGGTGTTACTGCTTTGTTGCATCACTCCAATTTTACTGATTAAAACTGTACCTGTGTTACCTGTGGCATCCCCCTCCAAAAATATCAGTGGATATAGAATTGGAATGATCACCTTCTAGGTTTTGAAGAACATAAACCAGCAGATATTAATGTTTTACAAATTTATTCAAACAAAGGAATTGAAAAGTGGAAAAAATAAAACAAATTTCCAGTTATAGATTATTTCAGTCAATTGTCAAACTCTTGTACATCTGGCAGCATGTCAGTGACAGCTGCTGCCACCACACCATCTCGCATATAATTGCTTCTTGACACACACACACACACACACACACACACACACTTACCACTGTTTATTTTTTATTATCACTGTACATACAGTGCTACAGTATTATGATTGATGGACTTTTTCCTGCATAAGGCAGGCAATTACACCTAAGACCAATCTCTCTCTCTCTCTCACACACACACACACACACACACACACAGTATAAGCCATCTCACATACTGGCAAAAGTACAGAAGTGTACTGTATACAGTACAGTACTTGTATATGTTTCTCACTGCAACGACAAGCACCTACCACTAGGCGAGTGTTAATTTACTTCACTGTATATACTGCATTATATTACTGGTAGCTTTTTATAAATGCTATACTGTACAGTACAGCATTTTCCTCTTTTCTTTTAATAACTATTAAAATGTTTTTTTGTAAAAGAAAAAATAATAATAATAAGCTGTAATAATTTTGGAGTTATCTGGGGACGGTATCCTCCAACCTTCAGTATAGTTTTCCTTACTTTAATTAATATTACAGTATAAGTATACTTGGTAAAAAAACTATCTATACAATTCTTGTGCGAAACAAAATGACACCACGAACAAAGGTTTTTGATAAAGGCACATGAGTCACACGGTACTGTTATTCACCGTTATATTACAACGAACTAATTTTATATTTTGAATGAAATAACTATATTAGGCCTACCATAATAGGTAGGAAATTTCTTACAATCATGCCGACCAACCCTAGCGAGACAACAGGATTGTTCAGTTTGAAATTTATCAGCGCCCTCCTGAAAGACGTTTTTTTTTTTCGGAGTGTACAGTATTATCTAGCCATATTATTTTAAGAATTGAAAAATTCCCAAATCTGGTTTTTCCTAGTCCCAAATTTGTGAGATAAAAGATATACAATACAGTACAGTACAGTACAGTACTACCTGTACAGTACATCGGGACGAAGCAACTCTGTATGGTCATCAAGTCAAGAGGTTGAAACACTTAGGTAGGTCCCAGAACCCCAACATGTGACTGGAATCTAAACACTGAAAAAATTTGATAATTAGTTTATCCTTCACATAAGGTACCAAAGGATATCTATTTTTTAAGAAGGTACAGTATCTTAAAAATGGAGAAGACTTGAGAGTTTAACTTTGAACTCTGGTAGACCCTGCTGCCATATGGCACCACAAAAATTGTGACTAAGTCCCAGGTTGCTGATCTGACTTTCTGCCTCATTTACACACAATTGCAGGGTCTCAATTGTTTCTCTTACTATTGACAACACAACATACATATATTGTTTCTCACTATTGATCTTTTTAAATTTTTGTATCTCTTTATGGTTCATTATTATTATTATTATTGCAATGTTGTAATAATAACGACCACACGGACATACGACCGCCCCAGTTGTACTAAAATGTTTTCAAATTACGTATTTTTGAGTCCCGACGTTAGTGATTGCGCTGTGTACTGACAAAATTTTCGTTTGTAATTCACTTTAAAATGACTGGCATGCTTAAAAGTGAGAATTTTGTGGTGCTGAGAAGAAAAAGACACCCATTTTAGATTTTCTATGTATTATCTTCGCATTTTCAACTTACGACCAATTCGACTTCCTACCTGGATTTGGGTCCCTAACCCCGTCGTAAGTCGAGGAGTGGCTGTAATTATAAAGTTTCAAAAGCTATACTATAATTTATTTGTGGAACATTTTACATTACAATATAATTTGTCATAAACATTGTGATGGTAATGTTGTGGTGTCAGCAAAGGTTGATGCTTATACAGTAATTACTTTTTTTTTTTTACAATATTCTTGATATTTCCAGTAATGATAAAGTTCCATTTTCATTGTTTCTGCAGAACATTTCATTTTCTGATTATACAGTAGAATAAGTAAGGTGAGAATAGACTGATCTTAGACATTAAGGTGGAAGCATTATTTAGGTTGTATTATTTAGGAATTTAGTATCTAAACTTCATAAACTGCTAAGTCATGTCCTCTTTTAATTCACTTTCTCTGCAGGCAAAATTCCTTAGATGGTGCTATAATATATATCAAATAGTTTTAATGTAAAAGTCTTGTTGAAATCATTGTCTCCAGTAGCTTAAACCATATACCTTCATGATATGAAAAAGTTGCCAGTCTTTTATGTTAATGGATATTTTGACTTAAACTGTGAACAGGATAAAGAACAGTACTGTACAGGTATTGAGAGAGAGATGGGGGGGGGGTTATTAGCATTATAAAATAAAGGTGTGAACCAGTCAGAGAAAAACTATTGTGCAGAAAGGCTGCAGTATTTTACTCCTTTGGAATTAAAGTTTTACCTCTACTATCTTCATTACTGATGTGAAACATTCATGATACCAAATACTGTATGTCCTTATTATAGACACAACTGTTTTGTAAAGCTGTGGATATATCTCAGTTTTGCAGCAAGAAGTGGCTCACAAGGGTAACAGTACCAGGCGACATTACATCTTTCATGCGCAGAAGAACATTTACCAGTTTCTGCAGGCTGGGTTGAACTTTGTTTTTAAAGATTTCTACATTTTAAATATAATATTCCATAAGCTAGATCCACATATCTTTCTTAATAGCATAATGCCTATCATTACTTATATTCTGGGCCCCGACTCTCAAAGAACTCTATGTTAAATATTCACTTTCAG